AACAAGAGACAGACGAAGAGGGAGAGAAAGAAATGCTCCTATGCTTGAGGGAGCAGGAAAATTGCTTGCTAAAATAAACTCGACCTTGCACCTCCTCCAGTTAGAGAACAGAGTTTAATGAAGTAATGCATCAATGGGAGAGGATGGTGAACATACACACGACCTCCCAGTGCTGGATGAAGCACTGCATGGTGCTTCCAACTAACATTACCAAACTAGTTTTATTTATCTGAAACATGGCCACTACAATGATGTAAGAATTGGCTGTGCTGGCTAACAACAGCTATAGTAACAAGCAGCAAAACTGTGATTGTCTCTCATAGGCCCCATTAATACTTCATAACTGGATAACATCCAGGTCCGACTTATCAACCTTTTATTAACACCTGCCCACCAAAATGCATTTCCATTAGCCAGATAGAAATATAATTGCATTAGTCTTGCTTTTATAACATGTCATGCAAACCAAGGCAGTAATGCCTAATTGTAAGTGCTAAAGATATTATTATATTAATTTAGTGCAATCGTTTTCTTCAAAAAGTACACAAAAACATGACTTGAAAACACTATTCTATTATATTTATGGTTCAATACCTTTGAAACATGTTTGAAAACATTTTTTTTTATTAATATATATATATATATATATATATATATATATACGAAGCAAATTACCACTGCACTCATGTTTTATCATAATGTTCTTGACATGCAGAGTAAACTCTCTCTCTATGAGACAGCATGTAGAACAGGCAAATTGAACCTGACAATCGTCTTGCGAACAAATGGTTTCCAGTGAATTCTAAAAGCTTGATGGACAAAGACAAAGCAAAAGGGAAAAAGCGAGTAAGAAAAAAAAATAGCCTTCGGACATTGTGTTTGATGTACATGGTTTACCAAACACTGAGTAAAGCAGTGCCCCTTATCTTATTTGAGCAGTTGGCGTAAGTATTTCTGCAAACTCCCTACCGCCCTAGTCATAAATCAATGTGGGACAAGATGGGAATCAGAGAGTATCATTACAAAACAGACTAATGAAACAAGCTACCTCTCTTAAATGACCTGCAGATCCTACAGATATAGATTCTCCACAATCACAGTCCTCCACCCCCTTATTCTATCTTGCTTTCTTTTGTTCTCTGTGTATTTCTTGTTCCATCGCGGTGTGGCATAGTCTGGCCATCACTAGATAAGGCCTTCCTCTTGGCAATACAGATTTCTTTGTCCACCAGAATCCATTATCGACATGTACACTATTTTAGGCAGCTTTATGTTTGTTTTAGTGCTGTGCAGATTCTAATATGATTCCACAGATGGAAAGCTCAGCGGTTAGGTCTGTATTCCCCTGGAGAATGCACATTTAAGTGTAAATAGTGTTACAAACTTTCTCTGGAATAAATTAGCATACATCTTGTTGTCCTATCCAGTGAAAAGATCAAAGAGACTGAGCTTGTTTGAGCGCATATACATCAATCAGCGAATATAAGACTAATGAGATCCAAAACTTGACCAGTTGTGTTGTTTTAGCTTTTGGCCTAAATCTCAGGATATTAGTTTTTGCGTTTCTCTCTCAGATTTCATTGTGTTTACTGTTTGTTTTGCATGGGCGCCATCGTTATCTCTGATTGGCATGGTAAATATCCTTGTTTGTCTGTGGCTAGACTCCAAACCTTACCTAAGTGATTATGCTGGTCTTGGATGAATTCCTTCAAAGCAGAACTTGACCATTAATTTCAAACATGAGGAAATAAAAACAAGAAAAAATAAGTAATAAGGAAATAAGTAAATGAATGAATGATTGAAATAGGTTAAAAAGTGACAATTTCAAACAAGAGTAAACAATTAAAATAAGTAAACAAGTATGAATGAATAAATTTAAGCGCTGATTTCAAACAGGAGGAAACAGACATGAGGAAATAAGTAAATGAATCAATTAAAACACACACACACACACACACACACATTTGACCATTCATTTCAAACATGAGGAAATAAAACTTGAGATAAGTAAATATTTAAATAAATAAGCAAATAAAAAAAACTTCACTATTAATTAACTGAATGAATGAACGAACGAACAAAAGAACGAATATGGCTATTATTTTCAAACAAGATTAAATAAAAAACAAGATCAAATAAGTAGATTAAGTATAAATAAGGACTTATTAAGCAAAAAGTAAATACATAAATAAATGTGATATCTAGTGTGTGTGTGTGTGTGTGTGTGTGTTTAATGGCAAACATACCTATTACAGAACATTTGTGAAAGTCACATCAAAAAGAGATTACTAAACAGAGCTAATAAATTCTAATAATCCTAATAATAGCGATTTCATCAACACTTACAGAAAAGCTGACTGTGAGGCAAAGCCATTGCAACATGGACAGAAATCCTGTGCCTTCTACAAATGAGAAGGGCAGAGAGAGCATGTGAAAGTAAAAGAGACTGTGACTCATTCTGTATCTAATAGAGGGGGAAACATATCACTCTACACTCCATCTTACACACATTAATCAAGGGCCCATTTAAGCCAATTCACATTAGCCAGACAAGGCCTTCCCACCCCAGGCTCCACTGGCCAGATTCTGTTAAACAAGCATGTCGAGGCCATTCAACAAGTCCAGTGAAGAGGGAATACAATGCTGAGATTTCATCATACTCAAAAACATGAAAATGTGCCTGTTATTTTCTTGCACAGGCTTAAATTAAATTGGTATTACTTCTGAATGTATGCCTAAAACATAGGTATTTTTACACCTCAGGCTTTGAATTAATTCATGTAAAATGTACACTTTTTCCATTATTTCTGGTTTGCATAATGTATGGGTTTGGAGTTTACTGCATTAATTCCTACAGCATATGTTCACATATTTCAACAGTAAAGCAATAATGAAATGAATGCTGGCCCCAAACACCAGTATTACTTAAAATATGTTAATTAGGTGACAAAATAAAATGTCTGTGATATGCAAGTGTTCCCAAAGGCTCTGTCAGATGCACAATGATATATAACTACAGGGAAAAAAAAATTACAAATTTTTCACGAACCAAAAAGCTCAGTGGAGCTATTACCAGCATAAGCTTCATGAAACTGTAAGTGTTTGCATTGAACTTTAGAAAATTTAGGGAAAAAAAAGTATTCTTGTGACTTTGTGATATGATAAATGATTCAAAATATTTGTCATAGGCAGTCCAGGACCTTAAAAAGAGGTCGTTAACAAGGACAATGTGCACCCTGTGCCAGTCCCTGTGTGAGAGAAAAAGCTTTTCCTGTCTGCAGTCGTTCACTTTACACACTCTATCGCCTGGGGACACACACACACACACACACACAACACACTCTCACATACACAAAAGGTAAAGCTCTTACTTCTCTCTCTTCTCCATCTTCCTCCCTAGAGCTGCATCTAATTTCATGATTCCTTCTTTTCCTTCTCCTCCTCCCATTGCCTCCTCCCCTCCTTCTCCCCATAGGCCTCTGATAGGATTACGTTCCTGAACCAAATGGATGTATTCCAAGCTCGACACTACTGAAGCTAACTGTTGAGTGTATCGGTTGTACTTTCACACCAGTGATCCAGGTCATGTCAAAACCACTAAGACTAGTCACAGGCATCATGGCCACAGGCTTATGACTAGGCCTTGGTTATAAATATTGTTTTGTTATTTAGAAAGAAAGAAAGAAAGAACTGTGGATATTTCCCTGTTGTCTGACTTTACCTAAACCTCTGAGTTTGTATATTAGAATATAACAGGAACCAGCACTTCTTGTTCCAATTATGCTGACTAAATCTGCATGCTAATTTTGTGAGCATTTTCATTAGCTGTCAGTATTTGAGGAGAAAATTACTAAGAGACAAGTTGCAGCAGAGTACTACTTTTTATGTGCCCATTAAAAACATGGTTAAACCAATAATAATAATAATAATAATAACTACGTAAACAAATACAATTTCTTGTTCTTCTTCTTATTATTATTATTAGGGGTGCAACGATATTCAAACCGAACCGAAAAAACAAAATACCCCACCCACGATATGTATCGTGGTACTCTTGATTACAGCCCTAATTATTATTATTATTATTATTATTATTATTAGGGATGCCACAATTCTCAATATTATATCCACGGTTGAATACACACTTGTGAATTGCGTGTTTTTTTTGGTTTTGGTTTAAATAATTTCTGTGGGTCTTATTTCTCTCTGTTTGTGTCCGTGAGTCTGCACGCTGAGATGAGGAAACGTCTCCCTGCTTATAACATGCATGTTGAAAAAGCAACATGCCAAACATCTTCCGCTGTAATGACTTGCAATGAGAAGTGTTTCTAAAACTGTTGTTCAACAATAGAAAACATCATAACATGTCTTTACTCCACAACATCAGTCGAATGTATGAAATAACTTTCTTTTGTGATCTGGTATATTATATAGAGCTTGGTAATCTATGTCATTGCACATTGCATTCTGGGTAGTTGCCGCAATTTTTTAGGACATGATCAGGAGCATACAATGACAAAAAATACAACTCACCAGAGGAAAAAAACAACAACTAAATTTACGTTGTAATTTTTTAAAGAATTGTTTGCATTTCCTTGGAATAAATTGACTAATATTTGAACAGAAATCATACGGCCACCTTCTATTGTACCACACACAGGACCATTTTAAGTGGCACAGATATTTTTGCCAGATAAAATAATAAATAATATAGCTTGATCTAAGTCGGTTGACCATCATGATATGAAAAACCAAATGACTGTTTTGAGAACAAATTGAAGTATGATGCTGGCTTTGCCAAAATACTTTTTGCTCAATGATCAGGCCGTGCCAACTGTTCTGGACCCAACAATGATGCTGCAAACTGTAAGTAACTTATTTCTGTCAGGGTCTAGGATAGATAGATGACTCAGATGCAGAGTAGTGAGAAATGAGATTCTTTATTCTCGCCACAAAACACAAAATAGCATAAACAATAGTTAATTTCTGCTCAGGTGAGCGGAGATTCCAGAGCTGGCCGGCAGACACTGCGGACCACTCGAGCTGCCGGACTCCGTACTACGAGTCCTTAAGCACAGGAGAACAGAGGGTCAGATACTGATGCTTGCACTCACAGGTTACACAAAGACACGAGCAAGGACAAAACAATCTACTCACGACGAAGGACAGACAGGCAGAGACATATAAGGGAGTGGGGGAATGAGCAACAGGTGGGGGAGAGTCTGCTCGTGATCTGCAAACCCCCGCTGCGAGATCAGCGCTGATTGCCCAGACCACAAGCTACCGAACATGACAGGACAACACAGACCGCAGGGGAAGCCGAGAAGGCACCCTGCACCGTGACAGTACGCCTTCTGGCGTCCCCGGAGGACTTACCATGACGCTGATGAAACTGATCGATGAGAGCGCGATCCAGAATGTCGCGAGCCGGAATCCAACATCTCTCCTCCGGACCATACCCCTCCCAGTCTACCAGATATTGGTGACCTCTACCCCTACGCTTCACATCAATGAGCCGCCGCACGGTATAGGCTGGCAACCCCTCGATAAGCCTGGGAGGCGGAGGGGCGGAGGTCAAGGGCTGAAGGGGGGAGCGAAAGACGGGTTTGATTTTGGAAACATGGAAAACCGGGTGGATCCTTTTAAACTGCGGGGTTAATTTGAGTCGCACCGACACCGGACTGAGCACCTTAGTGATCATAAACGGTCCAACAAATTTGGGTCCCAGTTTACGTGAGGGCAGTCTGAAGTTGATGTCCTTAGACGACAACCAGACTCTCTGACCACACACGTAAAGTGGGGGCTTAGTACGGTGACGGTCCGCCAACGTCTTGTTTCTCTCGCCAGTCCGAGTGAGGGCTTCTCTGGCGATCCTCCATGTACGGAGGCATCTCTGAATAAATGCATGCGCGGAAGGAACAACGGCATCGGATTCTTGGGAGGGGAATAATGGTGGCTGGTAGCCTAAACAGCACTGGAAGGGAGATAAACCCGTAGACGAGACCGGGAGGGAGTTATGCGCGTACTCGACCATGGTTAACCTGGAACTCCAAGATGACAGTTCAGCAGACGCCACACAGCGCAGAACCCTCTCCAAATCCTGGTTGGCACGCTCGGCCTGACCGTTAGTCTGCGGGTGATATCCGGAGGATAGGCTCGCAGGATAGATAGAGGACTCAGATGCAGAGTAGTGAGAAAGGAGATTCTTTATTCTCGCCACAAAACACAAAATAACATAAACAATAGTTAACTGCTGCTCAAGTGAGCGGAGATTCCAGAGCTGGCCGGCAGACACTGCGGACCACTCGAGCTGCTGGACTCCGTACTACGAGTCCTTAAGCACAGGAGAACAGAGGGTCAGATACTGATGCTTGCACTCACAGGTTACACAAAGACACGCAAGGACAAAACAATCTACTCACGATGAAGGACAGACAGGCAGAGACATATAAGGGAGTGGGGGAATGAGCGACAGGTGGGGGAGAGTCAGCTCGTGATCCGCGAACCCCCGCTGCGAGATCAGCGCTGATTGCCCAGACCACGAGCTACCGAACATGACAGGACAACACAGACCGCAGGGGAAGCCGAGAAGGCACCCTGCACCGTGACAGTACCCCCCACCGTGACAGTACCCCCCACATGGAGGACCTACCATGACGCTGATGAAACTGATTGATGAGAGCGCGATCCAGAATGTCGCGAGCCAGAATCCAACATCTCTCCTCCGGACCATACCCCTCCCAGTCTACCAGATATTGGTCACCTCTCCCCCTACGCTTCACATCAATGAGCCGCCGCACGGTATAGGCTGGCAACCCCTCGATAAGCCTGGGAGGCGGAGGGGCGGAGGTCAAGGACTGAAGGGGGGAGCAAAAGATGGGTTTGATCTTGGAAACATGGAAAACCGGGTGGATCCCTTTAAACTGCGGGGTTAATTTGAGTCGCACCGACACCGGACTGAGCACCTTAGTGATCATAAATGGTCCAACAAATTTGGGTCCCAGTTTACGTGAGGGCAGTCTGAAGTTGATGTCCTTAGACGACAACCAGACTCTCTGACCACACACGTAAAGTGGGGGCTTAGTACGGTGACGGTCCGCCGACGCCTTGTTCCTCTCGCCAGTCCGAGTGAGGGCTTCTCTGGCGATCCTCCATGTACGGAGGCATCTCTGAATAAATGCATGCGCGGAAGGAACAACGGCATCGGATTCTTGGGAGGGGAATAATGGTGGCTGGTAGCCTAAACAGCACTGGAAGGGAGATAAACCCGTAGACGAGACCAGGAGGGAGTTATGCGCGTACTCGACCATGGTTAACCTGGAAATCCAAGATGACGGTTCAGCAGGATAAACGGAACCCCCGCTCCCTCTAACCAGTGACGCCACTCCTCCTGCACCAGCTTAACAGCTAATAACTCCCTATTCCCGATGTCAATCGCGCTCGTTCTGGGAGAAGATCAGGATGTCGTCGATGTAAACAAAAACAAACCGATCGACCATATCTCTGAACACGTCACTGACGAGTGCCTGAAAGACCGCCGGTGAGTTAGAAAGCCCGAATGGCATAACCAAATACTCAAAATGCCCCGTATGGCGCCGAGCGATCGAACACCTTGCGCAACTCCTTCGAGAATGCCTCAAAGGACAAACAGCAGTCATGCTCGCTATCCCACATGGCCGTTCCCCACTCTCTCGCTTGACCCACCAAGAGCGTGATGACGAACGCTACCCTGGATTGCTCCATGGGGAAACAAGAAGGCTGGAGAGTGAAAGTCAGCGAGCATTGGGACAGGAATGACCGACATGAGTTGGGCTCACCCGAGTATGGAGCGGGCGGATTAAGCCACGGTTCCGCGTGGCGAGGAACTGCTCCTTCAGGGCCAGGAGCGGGTGTGCCAGCCCGAGCTGCCGAAGGGCTGGCCTGCAGCTGGTCAAGCCGTTCTACCAGCTGGTTGAGTTGGAGATCTCCGAGTCCCGCGAGCCCAATCAATATGGGGGTTATGTTTAACCAACCATCTGTGACCCAACACCACTGGAGCGGTGGGCGAATGAATAAGGAGGAATCGGATCTCCTCGGCATGATTACCAGACAAGGTTAGCGTAACGAACTTAGTGACGTGGGTAATATTAGTGAGATGGGTGCCACAAAGGGTCCTGGCAGAAATAGGTTCGGCCAGGGCAACGGACGAAATCCCCAGACGTGTAGCCAATCTGGAATCCATGAAGTCGCCCTCCGCTCCAGAGTCGATTAACGCGGAAACTTGGAAGACAGCTCCCCGAACTGTAATGAAGCTTGAAACTCTGAACGACCACCAGATGGCAGTCGTGTAGTAGTGACGCTCACCATGCGCTCTCCCTTGCGTGATAAGCATTGCCCCGCAACAGGGCACGCCGCTGCAACATGGCCCGCCTCCCCGCAGTAGAGACACAGCTGATTGGCCAGGCGACGCCATTGCTCCCCTATGGTCAGCGTGCTCTCCCGACTTGCATAGGCTCCTCCTCCGGGAGGATGAGGCGTTGAGACAGCGTGTCACACGCCGCTACTAACTCCGCCCCAGTGACG